TATGAATACGTGGTAAAATTAATTTTATAAGAATCGTAGATAATGTGTGCATATGCAGCATCATATAATATATTGAAAAGTAAAGTAGATTAGAATGATTCCATACTACGTCTGTGAAGAATTGGGGCGTTAACTTACTTGTTTATTAAATTTATTTTATATACTGCATATATAACATGGATGTAATATGCGTTCTCTATATTGAATTTGTATTGCAAGATGTGACATTTGAGTACAGTGCATAAGCAGCCACGATATTGTTTTTGGAGCGAAGATGTTTTAGAGTTATATCTTGTATAGAGAAGGTATTCTAAATATGCTCATATACCTTCAATATTTATAAATATGTGTTACAGCCTAAACCAGTTTAGGCCACCAACTCGCAGTGAAATGTACTAAGTACTGTATGATATGCTTGATTATTAAAATATATTTATTCGAGTCTTATACCTTGTATAGATGATATAGTTGTCGTTGGTATTGATGATGATGATGCTGGCTGAGTGGTCGATATACTGCCTGTATTACTGATGGTGAAGCTTGCAGTTTTATTAAATCTACTTGTACTGGTTACTTGACATTGGACGTAGGTTCTTCCTAAAGGAATATTATTGATGATAAGTCTTGATTTATTTCCTGTAATTGTGATAGACCATGGATAGCCTGGAATTAATCAATAATCCTTAAATTTAATAATTAGACAGCTTTTCCTTATGACCAAATATGTGTATATCGGCATAATAGATATTGCATCTTATTGATAGGTTTTTAAAGCAGAAGATGAATAGTCACGAGGACAGATAGAAGGAAATAAATTATTGTCGAGGAATAATACTTCTATATCCGTAAATTAATATAATTCAACTATGATTTCATAATCTATCATTTCATCGAGATACAGTAAAAGTAAAATTACGCGGATTTTCACCAACCATTTGATTATCTGTTGATATTTTTGAACTTTTTTACTACTATACAAATATTAAATTTTAAAAGGTGATTGCTTCACGTAATTATGATCATTCCAGTATTATTACATATGATGGTCATCGAATTTAAAATGCTATATACGTATGTAATAATGTAAATATATTGCATAGATCAAGATCTAAGAAGAAAAAGTTTTTGCGCCTCTTTGCTCTATATGTATTAGCTGGCTAACGATATCTTTTTGCTTTACATAGACTTGAGCGTAATATAACAACAATTGAATCCACCTGCATAACATTTTGCAAAGTGACCGGGCATTTTGCAAACTACCCGGTCAGTTTACAGGATTGAAAATTTTGCTGCAACAATGGTTGCAATTCCTTCGGATTAAAACATTTAAAATTGTTGTTGCAAAATGACAGCTACTGTAGCTAAAGCATTTGTAAAATGACCATACTGCATAACATTTTGCAAAATGACCGATTTCGCATCCGGTCTCGTATATATATAGTACAATACATATATCATAGGCCAGTGACTTACTTGATGTTATTGCAGTATTATTAATAAACCATCGAAAATTATTAACATAGGTAGGGGATGTTGAGTCTCCAGAAGTGGCCGGTGTTAAAGTGGTAATGCAGTCCAAGGTTACATTATGACCGGTTAAGATGACCGATGGCTTAATTAGCTTAATTTGAATCTGCTGTATTTGCGGTACTAATTCAATGCTATAAGAAATAGTTTGAATCCTGGTTTTTAAAACACAAGTGTAATTGCCAGCATGATTTAATGTTACGGCAGGGATTAGCAATGCTGATTCATTGGAGTAATGCATAATGTTGATACCAGCTTGAGTGGCAATTATTGGTGAGATCGATGTCCCTTTAAAATACCAATTCCATTTGGAGTTTTCAATGGAAAGTGGAGCTCCAAAAGTTAAGCGAAGATCAAAATCTTTCAATATTAGCAATTCTTGTGATGTTGGAACTACTTTGTTATTGATTTGTATTGCCATTTTCGTTACATTAATAATATCTAACGACAAGTGCAAACATTATTTAAGTTAGTAACGAGGAGAAAGTTATCAAATGTGTAATAGGCAGCAAGTGAACATATAATGTAAGATATATAGAGTAAAAGGCTGACATAAATTTTCATTACCTGCTTCATAAGCCATTTCAAATCCTTTACCGGTAATATTAATATCGGTCTTAAAAGCTACATAAGCGATATGATACATGGATGAATAGATTGTCTTTGGGGCAGTATTGCCGCAGAGTCGTGCAATAAGTTGGCCATTACTTCCTGGAATTTCGTTATCAAAAGTATTAAATATCTCCACCCAATCAAAGCGGCATTGATTACTATATTCAATATCTAACACCAATATCTTAAATAAAATCCTGTATGATGTTACAATATTAATTCTCCAGCGGCAATCTTCGCGTGGCGCATAATTTGCAGGATAATTTGGGGAAGTTATCGTTCCAGAATTGTTATAATGTAGGATATCATTTCCACCATTGCATATTGCACTATTTACAGCTATATATTATATGGATAAAAAAATCGGATATGAAAGTCATTGCATTATTGAAACTATTAAGCAGTTAATAAATTACTTTTGCTCCCACCTCTCGGATATCGAATTAGTAATGGATAGCGCCTCTTAGGATAGATAGCTGAACTAGAAAGGACCTAAAAATACAGTTTTAGTTGCTGTTTTGAATATATATCGCATCACCAAATCAAAGGCTAAATTACGACTAATAGTTGAGCAAGGAGGCGTAAAAAAATTATAGAATATGATTATCTTTTTAGTCATTATCGTGATTATGGAGGTTATTGTCCGATCGTGAAAATTAAATACTATATTCATAGAGATAGCGATAAATAGTCGAGCTAAAAGAGGCCCAAATCTAGAAAATGTGACTGAATAATTGGATTTATTCCTTAATTATATGACTGAATGCAAATTACTAAGTTAAAATAAGTTAGGATAAATAGTTAAATCAGAAAGAGCCTAAAAATCGGTAGAATTCTATTATACGCGTATGGACAATCATTGCCTGCTTGCTAAAATAATTAGATTAGGAAAAATACCTAACCACAGCTTAAAGTACTCTGGATAGGATTAGAAAGTAGAAGCTATTGCTACGACTATGGCGATCTTTATTGAGTAATTACATTAAACTAGAATAGGATGGCTTCGGAACTAAAAAGAGCTTCATAAAGATCGTAGTCAATATTATACGTGCAAATCAATCATTTTTTACTATATCCATAACAATTATTAGGTAATGGCTTAGCTAAAATAGATTAATACCTTTACAAATCTTACAGTACTGGCTTAAAATTTATAGTTAAGATATGGGATATCCTATACTTTAACTATATGCATTGCACTGAAAATGAGCTCCTTTAGTGTATTGTACTAACAGGACTCTATAGTTGTTATGAAATATATTATGAAGGAAAGAAAGGCTATCCCAAGTTTTGCAGCAGCTTTGTAATAAGAGATCTTAAATTTCAAGACATTTACGTAGTTATAAAGTTATATCTATTTTTAATTAAACATCGTTGACCATTCTAATTTAAAATATATTACGTTACATCATTCCAATTGTATATTTCTGTGCAATTCACAATACTACTATATGATGTAGAAGCTTTAATTTAATGAAACTAAATCAATATTTTAATGATCGGGTTAGTTGAGAAATTAAAAAAATAACTCGTATTTTGCTTAGATTAATCAGCGTTATTTTACATCGACAGCGGAAGGAGTTATCCCTTTCTTAATCTCTGGTTTAAAATATCTCTATCGATTAATTTTTGCTCTTAATCTAATTTTAATCGATATTAATTTCTCATTAGCAAATGAAGTAACTTCCTCTCACTTAATCTTTTAAATTAGCCGATTAAAATATGTTAATCTCTTGATTTTTATTCTTAATTTACTGAGACTATTATCTGCCATCATAAAATTTGTAGAAGCTTAGGTTATTCAGTCGGTAGAATCACAAATGGACTATAGTCATAACCTGCTTCTCTATCTTGAATTCTAATACTACTATATAAGAGAATGAACTAGTTATCTACTAACATTAACGTGTAAACGACCGAAATTTTAACCATAGTTCGTTCACTAAGGTATAAATTAATCCAATCTATCCCAACATGTGTAAAGTAAAAGGTATAAGTATAGTTGATGCAGTATAGCACGCAAAGTATAACGAGCGAGGGATCGACTGGTTTATCATAATATTTGCATTGGCGAGTAGCAAGAGCCGAGATTTATCGTTGCACGATGCTAGTCCATGTATGTTTGGTCAACCATGTTCAATATAAAGACGACATGAAGACCCGATTTACTCCTTCCAAACGACAGAATATAGTGTAAATACAAGTAGTTTGGCTTTTTCTAAGTTTGAATGAATTTTTATGGCACAGAATTGTGAAGATTATTGTCAAAAGTGATATTTCTCTTTTCAATTAGGCATAATAGCATTGGATTAAAAAAAATTAGCTAAGGTTTTGTTAAGATTTAGGTTAAAAGTAAAATTTCTTACCAAAGTGCTTATTAAGGTGATTAGAATTAAATACCATGGGCATAATTGATTCGTCATGCTATAAATAGAGTAAACGATCGAGTTATTATTACCAAGGCAGTCAGAGGGAGAATATGTATGAATTATGTTTTTTGATCGAGGTTAATTGTAACTAAGAGATACTATCGTAACATTTTATCTTAATATTGATCCAACAGGTTACTTTAAGCTAATCACTTCCAAAGATATTGTTTTTAAACCTGTCGAATTTTCGTAAGCAATATGAAAGCAAATGATATTGAGCAGCCTTGATTTTAAAAAATGATTTGATAAATTAGGTTGGTCACCATTCTTTTAAAACCTTCCAAAAGAGTCTTAAAAATGATCTTGGAATGCAATAGACAGGCAGCCTGATTAAACTAGACTGTTTTTAATATCTTCCTTCTTAGTTTTGGACTAATACTCTAAATCAATTGATTCATATCATTCCTGTAGTTAAGAAATTGGATCCTGATGCTAACGATAGAGCCATAACCCCTTTTCGTGTGACTGCAAGCTGGTGGATTCAAAGTGATATGATTTAGGTAAAAAAACTCCGATTAACTGCATGAAACGTAGCGGCACAACAACTACTTTGACCTATTCGATATACATAAGAATGGATTGATTACATTAATAATATGCACCATTGTCCGTCTATATTGCCGATTGTTTGAAATCGTGAATGTTGGAGGGCGGCACGAGACTAGAGCGATATTTCTTCACAATAGCAACACTAGCGATGAATATGATAGTGGCGTGCGTATACGTATGAAAAACAAGTATGAATACGGTGAATACATTCGTACAGTGGAGCATGTAAATGAATGTGGTGAATAGGGCAATCATTGCTTTGCTCAAGATGGGCCCATACAAGTATTGTACATACTATGATATACGAAGATGTATGATTCATGCGATAACATATACAAAGTTTTGTAAGTAAATATTTTACTACACATTCATCTGATTCAATAGCCCACGATTAGCTTCTTTATTATTTAGAATTAGGACGGTGAATATGTTAATTTGTTTTTCTTCCAGTAATACTACTTTAGATAATTGATTAATTATCACATATTATTATCGATAGTCAGATATCATGAATCTAGTCATGATCTACCAGTCAACATTCTATGTTAACCTAATAATTAGCAGATTTTCGGGAATGTGATGAAAACAAAGTAATGTTATATGCTTAGAATAACAATGTGCAGGAATAATTAGTACATACATACTGGAGTAATAATAATTTAAATGCAACAAATAGATCTAAATCTTCGTCGTTACCATCTATCAATAATTTTGCCACTGTTGTCGGCGATGGTATCTAAAACAATCTCTTTACAAAATATCACATAAAGTTTTCGAAATTATACACATTTTTAAACAATAAACAGCTTCTTTCTCCGCAGAGCACAACTCTCGTGACGAAGAAACAGAATCAATTCAGTAATGTGTAAATCATTTAAGCTAATTAAGCTAATCAAAAAGCAAACTGGATTAATGTCTTGGATTACAACTGCACATAAAATGTTCCAAGTAATACGAGATTATTAAAGTGAAAAATTATACTGAATAAAATGAATACGAAAATTATTATTAACAGCTAACGATTAATTTCCATTAGCATTTAGTAACTGGTCAGCTGCCATCCACCTACTCTTTAGAGATTTTAAGAGCAAACTCTAAAAAATATCGGAGAAGACGCTGGTTAAAAGTGTCATTTATAAGTAGTGGTAACAGTTATTCGATATTTTTGGATATAATTTTAAATTACCTGTTGCTGATTAACGAAATTAGTATTTAACTTATCAACGTCATCATCTTCTAATGTGTTATCTAGTGGTTCGGTAGTATCGTTTGTTGAATTCTGTGCCTGCGCCTGAAAATAAACGAATCTTTATCAATTACATAACAGAAACACGTATTATTCTAATAATGCAGCACAATTGTATACGTGTTATAGTCAAAATAGTACTTATACTACGAGCTATATACGATTACCTGTAGTTGGGAATTATCCGTATTTGTTTGATATGGGTACTGCAAATATTGAGCTTGCTGCATTTGATATTGCCATGCAGCCATATAAGCTTGTTGCATTTGATATTGTGCAAATTGGTCGTAATATTGTTGTTGATGGGGTTGATGCTGTTGCATTTGATTCATTGTTCTACAGTTATTCATCATAAAAAGTGTTACAGTGGTAATTTCGACTACAGATTTGTCATATAATGCAAAAGATATTTACTAATTTTTTAATTGAAGCTATATAATAGATTAATGAGATTTAAAGATACAAGTATAGATAAACAAATACTTTTTTGGCGTCGCCAGGCTGACACGAATTGGTCTTCCACCGCATCCAGAAGCACCCTGCATCTCATTTAAGGCTCTTGTATGCTCGTTTTCATCACCAAAGCGTACAAAGCCATAGCCTCTATAAAATTTCACCAAATTATACTAATTAGTAAGACAATAACTGAAGCAGAAGCTACTGATAGAACAAATTAGAATTTACTCGTATCTGATTCATACCTTGAATTGCCACCTTGATCGATTACCACTGTGAAAAAGTAAATATAAGAAATGACCTTTGATGTTACTTATGCTCAGTAGACCAGAATGTGATAACAATAAATTTATAATGTAGTAAAGTGAATGAGAAGCATTGCTTGTTCGACATCTGAGATTGTAAATATTTTATATTTTATAAAGATAATAATTGACGATACCTTTTGCACCCTTACAAGATGGAAATCTCTCACAGAAAAAATTCTACAAGCAAGGTTGTAAATAGCATTCAATATTCGCTAGAATAATCGATTAAATAATAAGCAGTATTTGAATATTGGTACTTACTCGTAATACAAGATCGGTAACATCCGGGGTTAAATCACCGACAAATATTGAAAATTCCGGGTTACTAACATTGTGATAGCAATAGTCATATTGACATAAAAAATAAATTAATAAATATTAAAGTATCATTCAATTGCATATAGTAATAAGATATCTTTTTGCCTTCTTTGAAATACAGTACGACTCTTATATAGCACTAACCCAGCATCTCTAGCACCATGAGTAGCCCAGTTTAACTTGAACCTCTTTTGCTAGATATTTAAGGAATAACGAGTCAATAACAGATTCTTAGAGTTAAAATTTAACTTCACTGGGTAACATAAACGGAAAAAGCATGATAACTATCTGTAATATGCATTGTCTGGATTAATTTTAAACCAATCATATTTACCGGGTTACTGCCGGGTAATGGTAATCCATTAACTTGCTTCAAGCAATCCTCAGCTGATTGTGGATCGGGGAAATCAACAAAGCAATAGCCCGCCGGACCACTAGGATATGTGTTAACATTCAAAAATTAATGATGGAGAAGATTTTACTTAGGAAAAGTAAATAACTGATTAAAAAATGATAACCATTGCTTCGTGTTAACGCAAGGATCACTGTCATGCGTACCGTACAGATTTCAGTGATATTACAAATAAAATTATAGAAAAGATTTCGCGTACGAAAGCTAGACAATTGACTAATAAAAATATAAACATATCAATAAATGGTAGTACTGAACTGTATCTGTACAAGTTGTAATACGGGTACTGCAGATCCTCTATCCAAAACTACGATGAGGTCATTTTGCATACAGTATCCTAGTTTCTCAAAGCAAATAATCGACTATGATTGCTTACTTAGTATAACCACATTAAGTTGAGAAAAATAGAATTTCATGTATCGTGATGAACTTAATCTATTTATTACTTACCCCACAACGCGATTTCTGATCAATTTAACCGATAAAACAGTTCTACCAACGGATGCAAAGGCATTCCTAATGAATGTTTCATCCATGTACGTCTCCAACTGATACACATAGAAAATAGATCATTAGGGCTTGAATTACATTACGTTTAAGTTGATAGACTTATGGCTACGATTAAAATTACATAAAAAGGTTAAATAGTGCGTGATTGCGATTACAGTTCTTTACCATCAAAGTAATTAGTAACACCTAATAATAACTAATCGAGGATAACTCTCTATGCATACAGATGAAATTGCCATCATTAGCCATTAGTGCATGAGAAAGCTATTTTTACTATTGAAATTAATGTAACAATGCCGATTGAAAGTCATTAGTAGTATGCAGGAAGATGTCGTCATCACTTGGAAGAGGATTTTCTTGCTACAACGTATACAACAACTGAATTCAATACAGTACATGAAGGCTGATATTACTGTATATCGTATTTAGTTGATTAGGCAGAAGTACCTCATAGACAGCTTAAAAATCATGTTTAAGAGAGTAGTGTGATAGGTACGATTTCAAATAAAGATATGAAAACTTCTAATACACTATCATGATTACAGATGTAAGGTTTGACTCATTGTCTAGAAAGATCATATTATCAAATCTAATATGACTTCCCAGTAAAAAGAGCCTTGTAATATTCTACAGAGATGTCGTCATTATTTTGATTGTTAAGAGATTTTTCTGATTTGATTTTTGTAGCTACGTAGAGCAAATTAAAGTATACTACAATTACAGGAGCAATGCTGTCTGGTAGAATGGAACATTGCTTACTGTACATGCAAGTAATTTAGGTACTTCTATAGCATAGGTAGAATGTTAGCTACGAATAAGAATGCATTGCAAAATCAATTCTATCTTAGTTGGATATACTGTACAGAAACATGACTTCATCAATGGTAGCAATAGCGATTACTGAATGAGCCCTTCCAAAAGAACTTGATATTTTAGTCTAAAATGAAAGGCTGATTACATGTCGGATAGGCTTAATGCTAATTAGTATGTAATTATAGCATAGTGTTGAAGCAGAACACGAGAGAGTGTATTATCTTTTCAATAACAAGGTGGCCAAGTTGATGGAAAGAGCAATTTGTAGCAACGCTCGACAAAAGTCACCCTATCCAGAGGAAAAGCTGATGACATGTTACGTAAGCATCCAGCCAACGCTAACTTTGATGTCATCATGCTATGTTTGCAATGGTAGTGACAGTCTGTTTTCACTTTAATAATATGCTGAGCAAATGATGACTATTTAAGGAGAAAAAATATCGAGCCATATTGATGTCAAATTTTTTCTAACGTTGTTCTAGTAGATCGTCTGCGGCCATTTTTGTCAACTGTCTTCAAGTCCATGCAGTGCACACAAGTAGAGTATGTGTACTGTATGTCAGCTATGTTGATAAGATATTAAGGTACAGCTGCAAGGTTAGGTTCTACGGAGGTGTAAAATAACCAATTTACTTTAATCCATGGACTAATTACCATCGTTTATAGACGATTTGGACCTGCAAGGTTTACTAATTGGACTTTTGAACTACCCTACCATGTAGTAGCCATTTTTGTCTAGTATACGCGTATTGAATGATTTCAATGCAATGTGTTTCAAGACTATCCATGATGTTCATAGAATTGCTATGGTAAGGCCGCAGTGGTGTCCATTCTTTCGTAATTGTTATCATTCTAGTTTGAAGGGAAAGTCAATGATATTGCTACAATATGAGCATCATAATTTACTACAATAACTGATTGGTATAACAAGTATGGACGATTTCGACTTGTGAGTTTTAGTATTTGGACTTTTGAACTACTCTATCATTGGAGTCGAATTCACCATAACAACCTGCAATGACCGACAGAAAGTCAAGCCAGAAGATAATGTCATTGTTGCATCATACACCATGAATCCCTTAACGTTAGGACTATCCATCCAATACACTTGATCATTTGCACTCTACAGATTGTAATCAACAAGTAGATTAATCGATAAGAGCTCATTTTTACTTACATCTCCCATCCAAAGGGTGCTCATGATGAATGAATTTGCTTTCAATTTCTTTGAAGTAATTTACAGCAAGGTTCCACTGGAAATGTGCCTTTGATGTCAACGTGTTCCAAGATACAATGCACATGGGCAGTGGAATTGTCTCATCTCTTTATAGTAGGGTACAGCACTGTACACAGTACAGTACAGTATAGCCTTGATGTCTTGTACACAGTACGTGGTTCGCTGACGTAGCACGCACAGTACGTACCGTCGTCTACAGTATTTACTGCAGGGGACATTTGTTTCCAGACGCGCTCCGTACTGTAGCACTTTACGCAGTGTACTGGACTACTAGTACCCATTCAGTGTAGTACAGACTGTACTGTACAGTATAGTCCCTAAGCACCAAAAGTCAAAAGCCCAACTCGGTCTCTCCTTTACCGTACTGTGCACTGTACAGTACAGTACTGTACAGTATGACAGTGACACGGACTTCGCGATCTACAGTAAAAGTACTGTACTGTACGGTACTGTAAGGCTTCTTCTGTGAGTCCTCCAGTACTGTATTGTACTGTACTTGTACTGTATACCTAGCCAGATTTATCAGCAGTGACAAGTTGTTATCACAATGGCGTCAGCTCATGCATCACATGATATGCACATCACTCGCATCAAAGGCTATATTGTTTGCCACAAATCGCTCGTGGGAATATTCGCGCTTGACAGTACCGAAGCGCATCATCACTTTCGAGTCAACCACTTGACGCACACATGCTAACCTGAGACAATCTCTTCTAAGAAAAATTTGTCAACGGTAGTGATTTCCGTTTTTTCGGCCATTTTGATGACTGAAAAATTGGCTTCCATTCTAATATAAGATAGAATTTACTACATTACATGTACAATCTCCTCCATACATTACAAGTAGAAAGACATCAGACTATTTACAATTTACCGTGCGCGTATGGTCTGTAACTTGGAACGATTTTGATTTGTTAAGAATTGACTTATTTCCTTGGTATCGCCTTGACATCCTGCAGACGGTAGTTCTGGGTCCACTGTACACTGTGTACAGTGATATCATTTCTTTGATATGATTATTATTATTATTTAACTTGCTGTCAAAGTAAATTTCCATTTTACAAAAGTTGGTTCAATGAGCGATGGTGGACTACCCAATAAAATGTCCTATACACTAGTATACAGTATATTACAAGTAGAAAGCGATCAGATAATTGAGAATTTGCTGTGCGCGTTTAAATGATTTTTGGTTAAAACTGGACTGATTTCTTTGGTGTCACCTTGAAATCGTGTAGACGACACTGTAGAGATATCGCGTTTCGTTGATATTATTTTATTTTCTTTTTCCTGTCAAGTAAATTATACAAAATTGAGTTGAATGAGCAATACTACGCCTGTATTAATAATTTCCTCTACAGTCTCGTCTATTACAAGTATTTCCAGTACTGTACAAAGAGATTACAGTATTTGGAATTTGCCGTGCGCCTCTGCTACCGTGACTGTGAATGATTTTGGTTTCAAAATTGCCTAATTTACTTTATGCTAATCCTAACCCTAACCCTTGATATCCTATTGTCCTGCGTGCAGTGAGTAATGGGTTTCGTTGATATACGGATATTAATTCAAGTAAATTGTCATTTTACACAGTATATATGTAATTGCCATTCTAGAAACTTCCTTAATCCGAAGGCAGTGACTGACTACGTGTGTAATAGAAAAAGAATAAAATATAGATCAATAAATTACAGTAGTATGGTAGTACTGTATACTTTCTTGATTGTAAACTACCTGTATTAAACAACATGATGTACAGTATTAATATACGAGTCTATGCGCATATACAGTACGATGAACGGGAATTTACTTAATAATCAACAATTCAACATCACTCTTGAAATACGCTCTACTGTGTAAATTGATGTATTATATGTACTGTACTACAAATAATATACATATTATTAACGATATTCATTTAGATAGCTCATAAGGAAATGGCCCTGAACAATCAAACGGATTTTCCCCAAGGTGCCATTGCTGATTGATTTATACGCGCCTAAATCTCTAGATTGAAATATTCTCTTATTTTTTTCAGAGTAAAAAATCAAACGCTCTTATATGACGTTATTTTCCATTTGTCTTCGTACTTTATTGATACGTTCATATTACTAATAATAATAATTAAATTATTAATTAAACAAAATTGAAATTTTCAAAATTTTTCTTATAATTAATTATTAGTTAGCAAAATACCCGACAATGAAGGACTGTTTGCGCAAGGTAAATGGACGTATAGTATTTTCATTTTTAACGGATCAGTGAAATAATTTGATGTACATACCTTACTTTGGCTTCTTTTGGTACTATTATTTCTCTTCATAGTCCTGGGTACTATGTCTGTATGAGTTATAGTAATACATCAATCGTATTAAGATAGACGAGCACTATGCATACTTTAAATTCAATTGAATCACTCAATGTACTTTATTACGACTAAAATACGTACTTGCCGATCCAATTTGCTATTTCCTTACACTAAAACGCCAATTTTAACCGACTTTGAAACTCCATTATTCCGCATGTGCTACTACGAGTATTGAAGGTATAGATTCGTAAAAAGCGCTATCTTTACTCTACTAGCGGTATTTTTAGTGATAAAATGCAACACTGTGTACTTTTACTTGCACTAACAGTTCTCAAGACACTCTTATTTATTAGTAAAGTAAAGCACAATGTTTACTGGCTGTATTCAATGCAACAGTGTTGCTTTTTGACTCTTTATTTGTACTTGCACCACTAGCATTGAAGCCATTTGCTAGCAGAGTAAAACACAATATTTACTGGCTGTATTAAATGCAACAGTGTTGCTTTTTGACTCTTTTATTTGTACTTGCACTAACTAGCATTGAAGCCATTTACTAGCAGAGTAAAACACAATGTTTGCTTGCTGTATTTCCAATGACAAAATTTATCAGAGTTGCAAGACTGTGTACTTTTACTGTACTGTAAAATGTATATGCAAAAATTTCAAGTAACTACATTGTAGATGACGAAAGCACTACATTATTTCTCTGCTTTTACTAGTTAATACAGTATTGTATCTGTACAGTAAATGTGTTCTGCGATTTTAGATGAATTATAACTTCTCTCAATCAGTATTAAAATAACAAGGCTATTTTGTTTATTTCGTTGCGGTAATAGTTGAGACTTTAAATATTAAGCTTTTAAATACGCGTCAATACACGTCAATACGATATTGTACGTGGATGAATGTGACTTAAAAATAGGCTACTGCAACCCAAGTAAATTGTGCAGTCTTACTGTGTAAGGTGTAGTAATAACAAAATAACTAAATTATATCGAGTATTGTAGTTAATCATTGCCGTCTCCACAAAAAATGGTAGAACCAACAGTAATGTAGATTCATATACATTCTATTACTATAGAGATTAGAGATGAAATGGGAGTACTTCTTATCCGACTATGTTTAACTGCAAATAATTATGCAATTGATACTTTTACTTACTATTAATGACATGCAGAAGTTCCCGTTTCCAAACAAGCACCAAAGATGGGTAGCTTAAACTTTAAATAAATATGATAAAAAATATTCTAGGCTTTAATAGAGACTCTTGTAAACTGCAGAAAAACTTCCTAGCTTACTTATAAAAATTGGTAATGTTGAGCCTAAATTTTTTAAAACTATAGCTACTGTAGTAGAGACGGTACTAGATAATATTTATATTTACAATTTATGACTAGTATCATTTCTTTCCAGGATCTTTATATTGTTCGATGAAACGCGATTCCTTAGGGTCTGTTGCTGGACGGGTGAGTAGTTTTATAATACCGTACTGTAATCTTCGTCAAACAATTTTAACAAACCCTAAATTGTGTATTTAACTTACTTATTAGTTAGATTCTCTTCTTTCTACTGTTCATTACTATTTTCTTATGTTTATCTTATTATTTTAATAGTATTTAACAAAAATAATTTGTAAATCTTGTAAATAAATCGAAATATTTGCCATTGTAAATATGATTCTATTTGGTACTGCAGAAATCTGTCAGATCTAATAATTGGTATAGGAAATACGGAGGTACATCCAGTTGGTATTAGCCTTTTATACGAATTCTATGATACATGAACTGTCGTCTATTCAGATCTTAATGATAGGATTAATAAATGAAGATAGTAAGAAAGAAATTACTGTACATAACCGTCTTTTTCTACTGTTATGTATTACAATAGCACGTTATTACTAAATTCGAATATGCGTATATAATTTGCAAGTTCATACTTTATCATTGGCACTAAATATTTTTACAGTTTGATTCGCACGGAACAGTGCTTAATTACTTTTCTCGAAGTATACATCACCATATTTTTTGCCACTTTGCAGGAATGACTTATGATCATGGACCATTGCGAGCTCTTATAGGACTAGTACGGGTGTTTGTTATAATAATTTATACAATTTCGGCACTGATTATATATACCGATGCTGTTTTAATAATAAAGTGAGTGTAGCAATATTAGCTCGCGATCCCGAAAATAACTTATTTTCTTTCGATGAGACCTTTTAATGTTGACTGCCTTGTCCAATCCTACTGACTTTGCACTAACTGCAGTTATCCAGACACTATTCGTCTATTCGATTAATTTTAATTACCAGCCTCCCCTCATCAATACATTCTTTTCTATTCTTAACTCAGGATTAAAGGTATCATCAAGACGGCATTCATGCTTCCTTTGTATCCATCGCTTAATATCAAGACGGTAAGATTTATGTTACTCATAGTAAAAATGTCTAGCAATGATAAATATTTTGATGAGTATAGTGCATTTGCATAGACAGAACAAAACTTGATTAGATATTGCTTACTAATGTATTACTCCTTTTTCTAAACAGTCACATAAGACACCTACTCAAACCACTCTGAATGCTTCATTATCCTTAGCAATAATAGGTATGTACAGTACGTATCATGAACCTGTTTACTTTATAAATTCAAGTAATATATTGATTATTATCCATTTTTCTACCATTTCTAAAATTGTTATGATGGAGTTCAGTATTAGAATTTACGATGCTACTACTGTATTAGATTATTAAATTATTATGTTGATTAAATAATTAAGCTAATTTCAGTAGTAGGTCTTACGTGTACCATTGCTGTCTTTATCTATCCTGTTACCTTCCAAAAAATTCAATCTGTTTCGGTAAGGTGTCACTTACATAATAAAATATAATATATGTACACAGTTTAGATTTCTATTATCACCATTTCGTTTTATTGTGATACCATATATCGGCTAATTTTCTGCTCAACGATGCGATCAAAATCCGTCAATTATATCCATTTTAGGATGTTATGTGTCATTATAGAGTGACAAAGACGCAAGATGTCGATCTGTTTAATAAAACTGTATGCTCGAATAATTTCTACGATTCAACTGTTACTGTAATGACCAGGTTATATAACAAGTTCTCGTTTCTAAAATTGTAAGTATTTTGTGTTGTAGCTAGCGTGTTATTATTTATTGCTACCGTGTCTCATTATATTTTCTGAATAGTAATCGGAATATATGATTCCAAATTATTGCTTATTTAGTGAAAAGACTAAAAGAGGCGAATCTATGGTCAAAAGCATTCGCAATTTGGACGATATAAAGGCAAATAAATGCAAATGATGTAGTACACTGTATAGTTTGATATCCTTGCTCTTGATATTATTAGCATTAGCATTGCAAGGTATCTGTTTTAAGTTGATACGCTGCTTTCAATTTGATCTATAACTATGAATTTAATTTTTACATTTAAAGAGTACGCTACTTACCAAATCTAGCGGAGATCCTGTAATTAAGGATACGAATAACACAAACTGTCTGAATGGTATTGGCGATAGGTAAAATTTAGTGCTAGAGTATTTGACTAATAATAATTCTACTAAAGTTTTATTCATTAACGATACCATAAACTTCCTATTTTAGAATCCGAATTCGTGAGCTTGAAGCTGTCATTATGCAGCTTAAGTCTGAGATTCAAGAAATCAAAAGTTATCCACGCCAAAAAGTAATTCTAAGTCAGGTATTTGTAGCTTAGTCTAAGAAGATCGTGGTACAGAAAATCAATTATGGATAATATTTTTCATTACCTAAATACGTAGGACATCACATTCAATATTCCACAAACACTCAATCGTGTATATTTGATGATTAACTACTTGGAAGATAACTTGAAAGAGTTAAAGAAATCAATGATTAGCAAAGAGGTCCGGTAGTGTGTCTTAAATTTGACTCCATATTTCTATTAAGGAAGAATAATTAATCTACCAGATACTTATCGATAGATTGTAGAACAAATTGTAAATTCAGCTCTTAAATTATACGATGAAGATAAAATTGGTTTAGCCGATTATGCATTATACCCCGCAGGTATGTGGTGAATATAACCAATACTTATATAAGTCTCCAATTAGGGAGATTGATCTATGCATTTATATTTACGTTCTTAGGTGGGAGAGTGATTTCTATAGGAAATACGAAGCCGTATTTGAATTCAGAAGGAAAACCTTTTCATTCGCCTAATATCATGATCCAAGTAAAACATTAATGCTATTGTATTAAACAGATAGATATTTTCTTGCATTTATAGCTATTAAAAAGCATTAAGCAGCTTTATAATAAAGTTTTTTATTCTTTAATTAGCCGGATCTGCAACCTGGGAATTGTTGGGCATTTGAGGGTAGAATGGGGGAAGTTACAATACAGGTATTATTTCAAAGATTTCTATAATTTTACCGTGCTATTAGATACTTTCAACTAACTAGTTATTTGGCAGTTATCGAATATAATCTGGATTACCGAGTTTACTTTGGAACATATACCGAAAACAATAGCTCCAGCCTCAGTTACTAGTGCACCCAAGCAATTTAGTGTTTTTGTAAGATCGATTTTATGTCGAGGTCATTTTAAATTACCGAATATTAATTTTGCACTCTTTAAAGGGCCTAGATGATATTTATGCTCACGAAAAGTTACTACTTGGGTCTTTTACTTTCGAAGATAGCAATGTAATGAATTTGCAGCGGTTTACAGTACAGGTGGCTCAATTTTTGTTATTTCACTTACCAAAAATCATAAAACCTGATGCTTTTGTTCCATTTTTATATTTCAGCATTTTCCGAATAGACCGTTTAATTTAATCAAGATTATATTTACATCTAATCACGGAAGTAGTTATACATGTGTTTATCGATTTCGTGTTCACGGATTTTTAGAGAAATCTACGCTCTAAAACGAAAGGATGAAGTTGTCATATGGACGTTATTCTACATTTGTTACTGATTTCATATTACGTAATGCAAGATTGGTACGATAATTACCAAAGCTACTACTGTAACTGTAATTTGCTAGTGTTTTTGAAATGATAATCATTTATGAAGCTAATTAAATTTTGCTACTTATTGAAGCTATCCGTTGTGAATGGAAATGTTGTTATCCGAAATTTTTGTATTTTGCTTCGTAAGGTTTCTGATATCTTTGAAAGGTTCTACCGACCGTCATTGATTTAAAAAAGCGTTTTTAGCTTTCATCAGCTGTTTTACGGTCTTCATATACAGTAATATTGTTATGAGAATTGAGAAGATAGATTATACTGACTCGTTTATTAAACACTAAAATTAATGCTACGTTTTGATGAAATACTATCATTGATTTCGGTTAGACTACTGGATCTTGTAGCTTCTTCAATTAAAGTAGACCTTCACATTAGAGGTAAAAATTATTGAAACTTTCTTTCTGGAATTAAATTGCGATGTATTGATTCATTATTCCAAGTATCGTTACTATAATTCTGAGGCAACTGTTTAAGTACAATCAATAGGATTAGCCATTGCGATTACAGCGCAATCATGAGTATCGTTCACGTATGGAATTTAGTAACAGGTAATTATAATCGTAAGTTAATACAATTACATCAATCTTATTAGTTAATTAAGTATTTCAATCAGTAGTTAAGCAGTAACAATTCTACTGTATATTACACACTATAGTACTGTAATTTTATTTTTAAGGGTTTCTTAACTTCGACATGAGAGATATAATTGTGATACTACTGTATAATAATTAAGCCAACAAATGATTACGACAACATGGATGGCTAACCTCATAGCCAGACGACTCCCTAATGAATGTCAGGCTGACAGATAGGTGGTTATTGGCAAGCCCAGTCGATGACCTTATCAGAACGGACTGTTTGGTACAGTAATGCCAACGGTAGAACGCTTACGCAACTCGCAGTTCGAGACTGGTTGGAACATACGGTAAAGTAGAGCAGACTGTCACAGACTCGCATTCCCATACAGTAATTAGTACTGCTACATTGGTTTGGGAGATAGTGTTAAGTCTAGCTATATTCTATTGGATGAACCACTGTATATTTCCTGTGGTTGCGAGCAAAAAGGGTTTACTCTGGACACCTCCACGTTCAACTGCTAACCAATGGCTACTATCGATGACGATGGAGATCTAGATACTTCTAAAAACGATCGATCAACTGCCAACGAAAGCAATTCTGCTAGGTATGCAAGTATACAATAAGATAAGATGAATATTAAATCGTTGCAGTGTAATTCTATAGACTTAAATCCGGACTTTTGCTCCTTTTTAACTGAATCATTTTACTCTTGATACTTTATCCTGTTCATCTTTCAAGATGTTATGAGAATAGAGATAGAGAGCTAACGTGGGTAGACGATTGGCAATATTTTTCACTACTGTTGTTTAGTATGATAACGTACAGAAGTGTATGACTTAGACATTAATGCCACTGCATCATATTGTGTTCATTATTACTGATTAACGGATGTACTGAAACCTTTAAATATCGTTGTATAGCTGTAAATTAGTGCGTAAATTATTTAATTTTGGTGTCAAAAGGTAGTTCACTTTATTCAGATCTTGTTTTAAACATCGGGAGAATCGGCAATCAATCCCTATCCCTAATATTACATTTGTTTAACATGCTGATGACCTATTTTACTAAGCCAAAATTTGGCTCTGGTCACATCTAATTGCCATAGTAAAGCACTTAAAAGGTTAAGTTAATCAATTAAATTTCATCAGTATTACGTACACTACATACAATCAAGTATATTAATAGCCTCAGTGCCTTGACACAAGAGATTGATGACTTTCTGGTAACGATTTAGTAGGTAATGAACACTGTACAGTATTGTAGATACAGGTATAATCGGAAAAGAATATCCAGGAACTTGTAATATGGCTACTGTGCTATATATTACAAATTTGGAATCAATATCAATTGCAGGGGCGACATAGGAGATTCGTAATGTATATTGATGTTGATCCCAAATTTATACTCTATCAACAACACTTTAGGAATAGCATGTCCGAAACTTGATGCATTACTTGAAATGTCAGCTAGCAGATTAATTGATTGGTTCATTTTATGTTACAGCCATGAATTACTTAAGAATTTCTGACTATCCCCATCAATTAGGTATGCGGCATAATGCTGCCATACTGTACTACTAGTAAAGAACAGGAAAGCTGAGTCTTAAAGCAGTTCCCTTACCTTCCTCTATTTATCAGCTACGTGTACTTCCAACCTCTAGTCGTAAGTCCATTACTATAGAGATACCTTAGTTATAATAAAGTATTATAAGGTTCAATGCATGCTAGCATGACATCTGATGCAGGAATACATATTGTAATGACTTGCAACATTATTATTAGTGACCTTCAGTTAGCTGTCCACTTATATAGTAAATTACGAGCATATACTGTACGCGTAATTGATCATGGATTAAGATGATTTAAATCTTTTTCTAAAGAGTTTAAATGCTGTGTACAATCAGTATCATTATTGCGTATGGTCATTGATATACTAGTAATATTATTTACTTTTCTTTCCAGCGGTAGTTTTGATAATGGAAGAAGCAATAAAGGCAAAACGATGCAGAAATCAACGTCGTCGGGGTCCATTTTAAATAATGACTCTAGATCTCCACCAAGGTTGATCACCAGCAGTAATAGAACTATCTATACAGCTGGTCGTCCACCTTGGTATAACGCTGCTGGACAATTTGAACAAGCTTTCGTAATAGGTGCGTGATAATTGTTAATAGAGTAGTTGATCTTATTATTCTTTAACCTATTACTTGATTTTATATTGTATTCGCTCACAGGTTTATGTGGAGGCAGTGCATCTGGGAAAACTTCTCTGGCAAGAAAGATTATAGAATCACTAAATGTGCCTTGGGTGACAATGCTTTCAATGGATGCTTTCTACAAGGTAGGATTGGCTATATTGAACAACACATATAGCGCATCAGGCCTTTGGCGATTAACTTGCCGTAGATATTTATGAAATAAGAACTATTTCAATTGATTCATATTCTGCTTGCCAAAGGTAAACTACAATTCTGTTACTATAGGTCTTATCAGAAGAAAAGCATCTTTTAGCAAATCAAAATGAATACAACTTCGATTGTCCAGGTACAGTGCAAGTTATTAACTTCACGATAATGCTTAAGGTCGCTAATACCACTGATGTATCGTCCAATAATATTACAGGTGCTGTATATCGGTCTCACATTTTATTTAAATCTTACTAGATGCAATCGATTACGATGTTGCTGTATCTACCTTAAGAAAATTAAAGGAAGGAAAGCAAGTTGAGGTATAATTATGATATAAGTAAACTTAGGCAGTGTAGGAATCTTATCCAAGTCTATTTTATTTTAACGATGTTGTTGTGAGATCGACAATATAAGGGCAATTAAAGCTGATTTCTAGAGTACTGCTGGCATATCTTATAGTATGGATAAAATTTTTTTAACAGATTCCAGTATATGACTTTACAACACATACGCGACTCGAAGAAACGGTATTTAGCTCATTTATTAATTTTTACCTTTTATAAGTTATAATTTACTATTTCGGAATTGCAGTGATGACTTTCTTACCATGGACTACTTGTGAAATGTGATTTAATCAATTTTTCAGAAAACTGTTTATGGTGCCAATGTGATTATTTTTGAAGGAATTGTATCGTTTTGTAACAAAGAATTATTAGAAGTAAGCATGCATATTATTCTTATACTATAATTACATTTATGAATAAGTATCTAATGAAAAATAAAGAGTATATTGATTCTTAGCAATATGTTATATCATCTACCATGTATCTAAGTTAATCTTACCTATATTTCATAGTTGATGGATATGAAGATATTCGTAGATGCTGATTCCGATATAAGACTAGCAAGAAGGTTATTGTAGTATTATAATGCCAATTTTAGACAATAGAAATATCAACAATTTATTTAAACTGGATAAAAATAGGTTAAGGCGTGATATCTATGAAAGAGGGAGAGATTTGGAAGGAATCCTTAAGCAGTATCATAAATCTGTTAAGCCGGTAATATAAATATGAGATAAATAGGTTTAATAGTTATAATTTATTACTAGTACATAGTATATTAGTTATTCCAATGGAATATTCTATGTCTTGATAAGAACTTCAATCTCATTCCTTAAACATTTTTACTTAAATCCATTTAGTCTTATGAAGAGTATATTGCTCCATCGCGAAAGTTTGCGGATATTGTTGTCCCTCGTGGCTCAGAAAATGACGTAGCTATAGATCTTATAGTCCATCATGTTAACAAACAGTTAGCAAAGGTATGGAGGGAAATCTGTTGGTGTATCGTTTATTCTAGGAATTTTAGCTTGTGATTATTGTATAGAATAATATTCATTATTTGCATTAACCGCGTCATTCTTTCTGCATCTGCTATTTAGCGGGGATATAATTTCAGGTAATGGAAAGTAATATCTTCATAATTCATGTTTTGCTCTATCAAATATCGAGACTGAATAGAATAACGATAATACGTATTACTTAGGGCTGAATTAAAATGTGCACACCGTGGTCAGCCATTACCAAGTAGTTTATACATTGTGGAAAAATCCCCTCAAGTAACAGGCATTCATACAAAAATTAGGTCAATATATGATATTTTTTCGTAAAATTGAAGAAATTGAGTGAAGAGAATTTTAGTTATCAATGAAACAGTTAATTTTAAGCCATGCATGTAAACGTAAATAATTTTTGGATGTCGTTTTTATTCTGCAATTAAAGGTCGAAGGAAACAAATCGGGACGACTTTATTTTCTACTCTAAGAGGCTAATGAGACTTTTATTTGAGTACACATTATCTCTGTTACCATTTGATGTATGTGATGATTACATTATTTTCTCTTACGTAAAAACTGACATGCCTTAGACAATTAATTTGTAAAGCTATTACTGTATGTATATATAAATCCTATAAATCTAACGCTTGTAAAAGGTGGATAATAGTAATAATATTGCTAGATGGTCTTATGATACCTTAGAGATTAAATAATTTGATACACATGGCTCTCAAGTACTGTAGTTACGCCTGTTTATATAAACATTTATTGATATTATGCACTCGTCCATCCAAGTTTTTGCTCAGTTAAGATGGTCGAGAACGAAACTGCAGACAATTCAAATTTTATCATAACCAGATGTAACACGATTTTTGATAGAATATTACTGTACAGACTCCCTATGGTACTCCGTATGTAGGGAAAAGATTTAATGGTAGCGTAAGTAACAAAGATATATGATGTAAACAACATTACTTTAACTATGAACATAGTGTTTAATGACGTAAAACTTTTCATAATTCTTATTTTCTAGATATGTGGTGTTTCTATCTTACGTGCTGGGGAAACCATGGAAGCAGCTTTATGTTCAATCTGTAAGGACGTTCGTGTTGGTAAGATTTTAATTCAAACCAATGAAGAAACTGATGAGCCGGAGGTACTAGTTTTCACTGAAATTTACGCATATACATAATTTGACCACTATTGTTTATCATAACAATATTATAGGTATTAGACTGATTATGTAATTATTACAGTATATATTTTTCCCTTCGCTGTTTGTAGTTGCACTATTTACAACTTCCAAAGAATATTGATAGGGATTATGTTATTTTAATGGATGCAACCTTGGCTACTGGAGCGGCAGGTACTTTGATAAAGAATTTTATTAATATTGATGACAGGATCTGAACTCAATATTATCCCTATTCTCTGATTATACTTATAGCTCTTATGGCCATTAGAGTTTTATTGGTAAGATTGTAAGAATTATTTATTAACCAACGTCGTAAATTGACGTTGTAAGAAATAATCAAACTTTAATGCTTTATTATTAAAGGATCATGAAGTACAAGAAGAAAAGATATTCTTTGTATCCATGATTGCTGCAGAATCCGGTGATTACATAGCATAATCTATGCACCATTGTACATGTAAAATTTTCTGTCACTCGGTTAAAAATAAGTTTAATAATTTATCGTCTAATATTTTTGATATTATGCTATTTTACCTGATTTTATGCTTGAAACAAGATCAAGTTTATGTTTTAAATCTTTACGCTGTATGAGTTCTATTACATGCAATCAAAATCCATAAATTCGCGAAGGAATTTAGATTTAAGTATCCAACATTTATCTTATAACTGGCTAGGCACTCATACTATTGCCTACGCATTTCCGAAAGTGAAGATCGTTACGACCGCTGTCGATCCTGAATTAAACGATTATTTTCATATTCTGCCTGGGATAGGTATCTTAATCTGCCTGATAAATTTCAATGTTGTAGTTGATTCGTTGTATTGAAGTTACATGCAGTCTGAGCTTGACTGGTGTTACAACTTTTCATTTATCTGTATTATCTATTATTTATTTATGTAGGGAACTTTGGTGACAGATTCTTTGGTACTTAAATCTTTGGTTTTACAGACATCATACAGTAATGAATAGGATGAAGTAGTTATGTTATATCGTGATAGCTTCTGAAATCATGAACGTAAATTAGATAATGATGGATAGTAAATTGCAGTGACCTGGTACCTTGTTGTTGCAGGCCTTTAACTAGTTTGTTAAAGGAGTTAGAATTTCAGATATGCGTATACTCCGTAGAATAGTCATAATTGTATTGGACTGTATTTATCCATAAATACTAAGAACTTTGATATACGAGTATTCTATGATATATGCAATTGATAGGATAATGTTCGGTGGATGAAACATTTCGTTTATTCGAAGTTGCTTCTTAATGGGAATCACAATAGTTTTATTTATGCAGCTTTGTAGATTGCTTTAAATGAACGAGATTTCATGATGCCTACGTGCTGCAACTACTGCAACGCTAATGCACAGTCATCGACATTTTAGTACTGATTTAATTTTCGAAATACATATAAATGTCTAAGTTATTAAATATGGCATGTCAAGCTCAGGATTTGAACTATTGCGATTATACATATGGTTTAGAACTTTAATAAGGCATTAAAAAATTTTTACGGGCTTTTTCTAGAAGTATTATTTGCCTTTACTATTGCGGAAGACTATTATTATCAAGTAGACTGTAAGAGTTACTAAAATACCTATATAGAAAACTGTACATTAGGAGAAACATATAGGATACGTACATTAAGAACCAAAATACACGCGTGTAAAAATTTCACCGTGGAGATAGTACAGCATTAATATACAAAGCCCATCGGATAGTTTGCTTCTTGAATATTAGGTACTTGGCAGGTGTAATGCGTGCTAAAATAGTGGTACAACAAGAGCGTTAACTTTAAATTTATCAGAGTTAAGAAATTTCATATCAATAACTACTCACGATAATTCTTTTAGGAGTACCAACATTTTCTGTAGCCGGGTAGTCTAAGATATAAACACAGCGTTAGCATGTAATTTCAATCAGTTTTCCCGCAAATACTAAGTAAAAGTATTGAAGATTACTGCATTATTCTCAGCAAATTAATTACTTTTTCGTCCGCGTTATGGATAATATCTTCAATCGTCATAGCTTTAAATTTTTCAATAGCTATAGAATTATTATCGTACTTCTTTTCGTCGATATCCACTAATGTAACGACATAAAAATATAGGAGTTAAACACTCTCCTAACAACATTACAAATGAATTAAGTATTGTACAATATAAAGCTAAGCTTGTATAACTTACAGATTGCCGATTTCATTTTACTAAAAGTTATCAATTCACTGACGTGTCGCCTCTATAATACAGCATAAAACCGAAAAGTTTAGTCTATTAATAAGCTACGCAATGATTGTCATTTCAGCGGTAAATTAGGAATTATCATGTCAATAATTTCAGAATAACCTTTGGGACAAGAGGTGAACTACCCTCATCGATTACTACAGGTATACTTGTGTATTCGTTGATGCTCAATGTGCTTGTACCACCTATGATTGGAACCCAGCAACAAAGAAACAGACAACGAATAAGAATGGATAACAGTTAATTTTTCGACATTTTTATGACAGCAGTATTGTATAACCAAATTTATGGCTGAATCATCGAATAGTACTGGCCTGTAATTGGTTTATAGTCCGTAATATCATTTACGCTAATCTTTTCGGTATCAAATCCATCAATGTTAAGAGCTTCGATGACTCCGTTGATATCAACCAAGTGCTTATGATTTATAGGTCGGCTATCGTCATCGCTATAAACGGAACTATTCATTATATTAGAACTGTGAATTTATCTAAATACCTTACATATTCGAATCAGTCTACCTTCTCTTTTGGGCATGAGCAATAAAAGTTTTCATTGGTAGTAAATGTTTAGCCTCTTCTTGCCGTAAAGTAATTGTCTTAATTGGTAAAGTAGATCAATAGTTAAAACTCTAATTTAAAATTCCGTACACGGTAGCAGTAATAAAATCTAAAACAAATAAGATTTAATTAACAACCTTGGCTATCAATTTTTCTAAAGCTTGCAGTAGCTGTAAATGGGCGATTAAATGAAAGATGGCTAATACAACACTATGGATAGCCGCTACACAACTTGCAGATGTCATTCCATTGTTTCTAGTTGCAAAATTCTATTGGCATGAAATTTTTAATAGTTACTTATTAGATAAGGAGTAGATCATCGCAAACTGTTATATAATTTATTATTGCCAAGACAAAATACGTCGATAAATACCTGCAATGTCATTGCAATTCTGATAAATTCGATAATGATATCACTACTGTTGACTTCAATAAGTATTAAGGCTGATGTCCGATAGAGCGCAAAGATGTTATCAGGTTTATTGTCTCTGTCTTGAAAGCTTTCAAAAATGTTATTAAATAAATCGACCCCTGCCTATTAAAACATTAATTAACTGATATTTAATTTCATATTATACGCACTATCTAATTATTTGCAATAACTTTTACTACAATATGATGTCATAGTTTACTTACCCTTTTCATAAACATAAGATCCTGATGAGAGCACTTTTCTACATTTAGATCCCACTCTGACTTTGGAAGTAAGATTCTGTGTTTCCATTCATATACAGTAAGAAAAATTAGAAAATGCAATTTGACATACATACTGCTTTGAAGATCATTAATAGTTTAAGTAACCTTGAGGGGGTTAATCTCGGTAAGTTCTCATGACGGTCGAGCAGTCTATGAAAAACTTTCTGTACCTTTAATCTGACTCCTGTAGTATTAGATAAAAAGATCGTTAAAAATGCAGTTAACGTCATGGTATCTAACACCCACAGAAGTCTCTGACGTTTCCTACCTGAGTCAGATGAACGAGATAATCGTAAAAGGGGTTCCAATAATGATCTAGGAAATACGCTTGAAAGATTTGAGGTTTTAAGACCTTCACTAATCTAAATATAAGAACAATTAATTTAGAAAGCGAGCCATTAAATTTTTGTGGCATGTATTACTGTTCAAACATACCAATCGTTTAGTTAATTACCTTCACAAGGCACTGTAGATACTTGCTTTGAAGAAAGTATTCATTTGAATCTCTACAAATCAGTTTACGCAATTATATGATGTTTTTCGTACAGATTGATATAACGAAGGAAAATTTTTATGCGATGCTTCTTAACACTAAAAGCGAACTAAGGACGTAAAAGAAATAAATAACACACTATCTGTACTTACATTGGGATATTGTCATCGTATACCTCACTAACTGTTGGTATTTTACATGTAATAAATGTCATAACTTCAATTTTCTGGTAAGCTGGAAGAGTAGCACCAAAAGCCCCTAAAACGTATAGATTATATTATAAAAGGTAATGATACTAACTACTTCAAATCAACAAAATCGCGTGTTACGGTTATATTATCAACATGTTATACTATACGTACCCACAACATTAGTAACTGCTTCTTGAAATTTTTTTTCATCTTCAGGAGGAAATGACTAATCGGAGAGAAATTTAATTAACAATTGTAACTGCTAACTAAGAGATAGATGGCCCATTAATTTTGGCCGCTCAACATTAACAAACTTTTAAAGTTACAGTAACACTTTCATGACGAAATGGGAATATTACCGGTATATCTTTCCGTCGATATTGATTGGAAAAGACAGCAACTGATGATTTCAGATGAAATAGTAGAGTATTGAATACCTCAAAGATTGACGAACCTATAAAATAGGCGTATATGTAAATGTAACAAAGCGTTCATACAAGTTATAGCAGCACCGTTTACGAGATGAGTGAGCCAGGAATACTGATACTTGCTCTGTCTGTCTATATTCTATCAAATATATCAAATAAGCTGAAAAAATACCTATAGCACCACCGGCAGCTATTGCAATAGCTTCACCTAAGGCCTCTAAAAGGCTAGTTTTAATTTTCGGATTGTGTTTCGATATATCATTTAGATGGTTAAGTAGGACTTCAATGGCGACATATGAATGCTGGCTTTGTACCGAACACAAAACCAACTTAAAGCATTGAATGGCAAATGCGTTAGGAAGCCAAAGTTCACAATTATCTAAATGCCTGTAACATATTAGAACGTTGTAGAAATTTGTAGATGGTAATAGTTTAACATACACCAACGTTGTAGAGGTACCAAAAGTAAATAAATAATTGATTACTGTTATTTTGTAATTTATAGTACATTATAAAAAATACGATATTATCCATACGTTAGTAGAGGTGTTAATACAGCTTTAACGTTAGCGTAATTTGTTCGCGCTAGTAATTCTCTGAGGCAAAATTCAGCTAGCTTTCCAGGGCTGCTGTCTTCTCCAACAGGTAAGGAGAATTGTTCATCAGCTCGTTCTAAATAACTGTAGAATTTTAAAATTGAGTGACGTTAACAATCGTATTTTAAAGTTTTTAAATTTCTTTTTGTACCTATCAGATAAATGATCTTGAACAATAAAGAGTAATGATGGGATGATCTTATTCATGTGAGCGCTGTCCCAAATGTCGACTTGGAGATCATCGGAAACGGTTTTACGAACAACACCTTGCAAGCCTCGTACTCCTGCTAATCGCTTTCTAGAAGTGATAAAGAAATTACATTTTATCAACAAAGAACAATTATAAATTTAATACTGATAATGAGGTAACTGTTACACGAATTAAATTGTTAGAAACGCACATACGTAAATTTACAACTAGCGATTATACTTTATCTACGTATTATATAATCGAAACCGGTGTTACGATTGAAGAATGTTATCATACAGCGATTTGTAATTACTTATTTCTAATTTCTTCATTATTGTTAGTATCCCAACACATGGAGCTAAATTTAGATATGAAAAAGTCATATTTCCGATGATACGATGCCGTATCTTCTTCTATGTTTGAAAAGGCAACAAACTACAGAAAAGAAAGCATTTTTAAATTAGGAGAACAAGTACATGGCATATTTCAATTTCTTAGTTATTTCTTACTTGTTAAAATCATTATTGGATATCACGCTATCCAACTTACGTACCGAAGCATTTTAAGAGTTTAATTGTAGTAGATATGATTGCAATTTTGTCTATGTTGTTATATTTGTGCATATAAACATAATATATATATTGTAAATATATATGGGCTTTATTCTGTATATGAGAATCTGCGTTAATATGAAGGAGACACTGCGGCTAGAATATCTAGTTAGAGTCGTAGATACTGTAGTTTTATAATTTTTTCATTATTGCTTCATTTAGTAATCTCGTTTCTCATTGGCATTTTTACAGGGAATTAAAGTTAAATATTTCGATTTATATCATACTAAAACTCAGAAGTTATTACTTGCATATAAAAACTGATATTGGCGCCATTATCATTTGGATTATAACGTATCTTTTGCAATCCCAAAAGTTTATTAGTCAGTTAAAGTAAAGTGCGGTGGAATACATCACTAAATCTTTTATGGCATTAACATTAGTAAAATGGGTCAATGACTAGATGTTATATCCAAGCAATTGTTAAAGTTCTAAATTGCTAAAAGAATAATAAATATTACGAGAAAGCCAGAAACAATTACCCGCAATTATGGCTATCTGAAAAGGTTGTGAGTTTCCAGTAGAGTAACTATTACTGTATGTCAGCAGTATACTTGCATACCTGAGCTAGCATGAATTCAGAATTCGCTACAATAGAGTATCTGTAATAGTATGCTACTTCAAATGTTTTTGTATAGAAGTGTGGATATATCTACGAAAGTCAAATGGTGCACTATAAATCTGTAATAACCATGCTACAATTGTAATAAGGTGTTATAATATCCAGTCATCAAAATGTCTGTGATTCTAGTAAGGTTCTATTGCAGCAGCATAGACGACTATTTCATCAACAATTATAAAGTATATCATTTATTCTTATTAGATCAATAGTAACTAATAGTAACTATGGTAGTGCAATGGATCATTAGCCAATCAAGAGCCTATCTATTGGGATATAATAACCTGTACACTAATCATGAAACACTACTAATAACTTCATATTAAGTAAGCATAGCGGCTTGATCAATTAAAACTAAACATGGTAGTTGGTTGACATTGGTATCGATTATGATAATATAATTGTTATTCCTTTGCCACATACCGAATTAGTTCCTAAGACTTGTAATTCAACATCTTGGGATTCTAGTAGTTTTTCAATCATTTTTAAAAAACTACCGATAAAAAGATTTAGGCTAGGTGCATGACAAGCCATTAATAACCTATCCATAGCAGCCACAGTAATACAGGCATATCTAGATAAAAGGATAGGATTAGAGTTGAATAAGAATAAGAGGCAAGATAATGACATACGCGTAGTGTACAACTGAACATGTATTTGTTATCGCTAGTTTGTATGTTATTTTAATATCAGGTATTTTCTACTTCAAATAGAAATGAACATTGATTTTGTATGGTCTGATAAAAGTGACTAGTACTGTATAAGGCTTACAATTTATACATAAAATGTTGTGAACAATTGATATATGATGAAAAATGATCACTGTACGGCATGGATTCATCGTATAGTTGTCATAATGGACAGGCTTGTGATATTCACATACTGTACTATCCATTGTCGTGTTCTCATCCTCTACACGAATGGAATCTAGGAGTTTATTGTATCTAATTGATTTTATAAACATGTTACAGCTCAATATAGGTAAAAAAAAGTAGGTGATCGCTTTAAATTTGTCGATATTGACTATGAATTGTGGAGCCTTTTTTTAAAAATCGGAATAGTTGTCTAATCGCTCTATTATCATTATCGTAGTTATTGTCTGTTGTATCTAATTAACTATGTAGAGCATAGAATAAGTCCGACAAAATGCAACTATTATAAAGAAAGGAGATTGCTGTTAGCCTGTACTATGTTTAATTGAATAGTCATGAGTTGGCTTTTTATAATTTATATTGATAGTAGAAATATCTAGTATCGTCTTATCATCAGCTTGTGACAGCAGGATCAGTCCTATCAGTATTATCCAGTAGATTGTAATCAATTCTATGAATTATTATTATTATTATGGATTCTACCTGGCCCGGTTGCGGTATAAATCTCGACATAATCGCTGATACATATACTTGGCAATTCGATCTAATTTTTGATGATGTGATAAAGCGTAGAAGAGTAATTTTTCCATGTTATTCTTGATTAGGCCTTCAGAAGGATCAGCTGGGTAGATATTATTAACCAGGCGTTTATAACGTGCGCGAAATCGAGGACAAGTACACCGTAAGCATGCCATGTTCTACTCGCTGTCAATTTGGCCGGACTAGGTGATCTTCTTGTTAATGAGTGAATAGTTGTTCAACTTGTGGTAGCCTTAGAATTGCCCTACTACAGTAGTAAGATCTTCTCATCCACTAGAACATAATACAGTAAGGACAGAATTTGGGTCAAATTGTGTGGAGTTTGCGCCTGAAATAGTCTCAGATATTCATTGAAAAATGGACCATTTTCCTCAAACCATGGTAGCCATTGGCAGTGTAATGCTGCAGTTGGCTTGCTGTGCAGTACGCACACTCGACCGTATCCAGTACTGGAACTGCAATCTGGAGACAAGCGTGCTTCGTACTGTAGCCTGAAGACTTTTAACTGTAGCTTTTCGGACCAAGGCGTCAGTATTTCAGACAGACGGACGAAGGTTCCCTCTACATTATTCGACCAAAGGGAGTCGTTGGTTTGGTCTGAATCCTCTCGAAGGGACTCAGTTTTGCACAGTCCATTGATTGACTTTGGGTCGATGAACTGATTAGCTATTACCTGTTTATTATTCATTCTAGCCGCAATACGTCGCACCGCCAAAGCTGCGCCATTTTATTTCAACAGGGTTTGTTGGCAACATTCCATCTTTAGTCTGTCTGTCTGAAACACAGTACTGTACACTGTACAGTGTTCAGTACACTATACTACAGTACAGTACTGTTCTATAAAAACATTGGTTTTATAGTACAGGAAAGTCCCTAGATAGTCATGGTGCAGTACTGTACAGTAGTGATTTTTGGTGAAAAATAGAATACTGTACACTGTTTATTTTCTCTTTAGATATACAGTACTGTACTGTACACACACATCGTCTTTAATTTCGTTTTAGATACTTTAACCGGGAAAAAATGGAACGAAAATTAACGTGCAAATACAGTAGTTTATACCAATATCTAGCAATCAATTTCGTTTATACAGTATACTGTACGGTACAGTACCGAACAGTACAACCCCAGCAGTCACTTTCCTGTACTGTACTGTACAGTACAGTACCGTACCTGAAAGTGCATGGTATGATCTGGTCCGGTCCGGACAGTCTGTACTCAGGTAGCGCCAGTGAGCCACCATCCTTCCTGCTTGCCCATCCGTATTGGAAATGAAGCACGCATTCGCAATGATCGATCGATAGTATGACGTAACACGATGATAGCCAATCAAATTATCGATTCTGAAACCGCGAAAATTAATAGTTGGCAATCCTCTATTGACGAGGACGCAACATCAAGCTAAAAATAATGGTCAAATGAGCCTAAACAGATCGATGTATGCGTATTACTATAGCCAATTATCCACATCAATTCGGCTACAATAAAGTGGTGCTAAACAGGAACGAACTCGTACTAGGCGCGCTTTAATAAACAACGAATCAATTCCATTTGCATCTTTCGATGCAAAGCGTGGCAGGTAGTAGCAACCCAGTACTGGATTAGTAGTCGTATGACAGCCATCTTTCACTGCGGAAAGCCAAAGAAATTGCGACTTCTTCTATCCAAATCTGCTTTGATTGTGTGAAATTTTACAAGCAAACTTGTAAATTGTAGAGTTTGGCCTTTCTCAACTACGAAACGAGTAAGTAAACGTTAAAAATTTGCCAACAATGATCATGTCATTCTGGGAAAGATGAAAATTCCCATCATGGAGTGATTTCATTTTTATGGATTGCACGCAAGCCTTCGTAACTTGTCATCGATTATAGCAGATCGATAGTAATTTCGTGAACTATTTTACACAAGTCTCTATTCATTAGTCGATATGATTGTATTATGATAGAGGACTAGATTGTATAAAAGAGTGCAGAATTCCTGAAAGGAGTACGAATGATATTGACAATGTATCACCTTGTTTGCATTGAATTCGAATGCCTACGGGCAACGATAGAATACTGTAACTGCAGTAGGAGCTATCAATTTTCCTAATCATTCTTATTGACTGTCATTTTTTTCCTTACCAATTAAGGAATAGAAATTGACATTGGAATCCTTAATACTGTAAAATGCTTCCTCATCAACAACAAGTAAACTCATCATCATCAGGTACGTACTGTAGATACGTGGACGATCATTATCGACGATAGGCTGAACTCATGTTATGATCCACGTTGATACAGATAATATTGATAATAATCCGATGGCCTTAACCCTATTACTAGGATAGGTTCTAGATTTAAATTACATCATTACAGTTGTTATAACATATCGTGACTACGTATGTTTGCAGTACATCTGTCTCGTAACTTGCAGGCACATCTACATCAAGAGACATATCATGAAATCAACGTGACAAAAACTCAAATAAGACACTTAGCATTGAATGGAACATGTTGAAGCGTTTATGAATAGTTCAGTTTTGATACAGTATATAATCAGTATTGTCCAAAAGCTTCATTAGATACGATATTAAAATTACGTTCTAACTAATTCACAGTAGTGAATAGTTTATACCTGGATTATACTAGATAGATATTATTCACTCTATCTCAATAATGCATTTACGAATTATTCATTCACACAGGAATTTTATCTGATGTTGTCGCCTATGTTGAAGTGCGATCCAGCCAGGAAGATCGTAGTGCTAGCGTTAATCATCAGCTTATGAATATGGGAGCAGAAGTAAGTATACCGATTGTAATCAGTAATGGATTGATCATATAATTGTTACTAGGTATCTGCACTCATATCGTATCATACAATGCATAACATGCTCATAAGCTATGGCTTGGCTTAACTTATGCTATTAATTATCAGCAGATCGAAGAAGAGGGCAACAGCGCTGTACCTTGTGTTCTCTAACTTACAGTACACTGGTATCAATTATTATGATGCAAAGTTAGCAAAAGGCTTACATTGTTATCAAGCAGTTATACAAAAGCTGGAGATTGTTAGCGAAAACATTAAATCTTGAAACTACATTACTCTATTATACTCGTAATTAATGTTTCACATGACCATCGTATTTTAGTTACCGTGAAAACACAAGGAATTGTGGAAAAAAACGTATGCATCACTTTTTGATAAACAGGATAAAAAGTTCAAACTGATCCTCTTAACTTTTACTCTTATTGATGTGATATAACTACAGTAATAATTAATTCATCACTGCGGCATTAATGATTTAGCCAGCATATGACTAGAGGGTTATTATAAATCTTGAAAGGTCAATTGCAAAGGATTTTACTGGACAGCTTTAGTATGAGTGCTCTATGTACTGTATAGCACCCAAAGTATGTCATGAATACATTAATTATTATGTTCTCATAGGCTTGTTAACTCATTGCGTTACTTGCAATTAACAATGGATTCTTTCATTTTGTTCGCAGGTTGTTAACAAACTATCCAAGCGAGTGACACACATTGTAAATCTTTAGTAATAAAATTTTACATCTACTTTTCAAGTAGTACATTTTGATTACATTCATAATTATAGCGCTCTCTATTTTAAGGTTTACAAAACCGGTAAGAAATCAACAGTTGAAACTGCCCGAAAAAACAGTACTCCGTTACTCAATGTTCTGTGGGTTGATAGGTATAAACGCATAGATTGCTTTCCATAGTATAGAAGAAATAATGAGATTCAAAAGTTGGGAAAGATTGCTGTTGATTTACGCGTACTTATTCCTTTCGTTTAGTTGTAAACAAAGCAGCGAGAAAGTATCTATTGACAATTTCATTATAGACTATGATGATGCTCTATCTACCAGTACGAATAAGGTATTCCTTGCTATATTAGCAACTTTTTAGAAGTGGCACAGATCTTAACAGCTGTAGACAATACGAAGGAATAAGTTTTTGATTATATCTTATCGCAGAGACTTCGTCCAACGTTGGAAATTTCGTCTAGTAAAAGATCTAAAGTACCGCCCGGAAAGGATAAAATTGAAAAGCAATCGAAAACTCCAGTGTCTGCAACTAGTTCGGAAAGTAAATTACAAAAGCGGACAACGTTAGAGAAAGAAAATAAAAACACTGCAGAATCTACTCCTAAGCCAAAGAAATCTTTATCTTTATCAAAGAAATCATGGAAGAAACAGAATGGAACTCCTTCTGCAAGTTTCAAACCAGGTATCTATCTCATCATTCTGTAAAAAATAACGGAAATTTTAAAAATGGTATAATGGCGATACTATGATCCGACAAAATCATCCCTGCTAAGCGCTGATTAGAAGCCTCTTTTCTTAAAACCTTCTGATTGTTTTACTAGCTTCAATTGCAATTTTGTGCGAAGAAACTCAAGATATTTCCCTACAAGTACGTCAAAATAATTTTCGTGTTTCGTCGGTAGCCATATTCACGTAACCGGAGTTAGTATTTATGTCAATATCATTTTTTCGTGATATACAATACTATCTAGAGCGCTGGTACGCCATCTCAGCCTGGAAAACCAATACCCGTAACACCTGACGAAAGCTCTGGTGGAGGTAAGATAGCAGAAATAGGTGATAGTATTCATATAATCTCTTGTAATTTATTCTAATTATTTCTTTCTCTACACCTAAATTTTACCCGAAAAGGAGATGCAGTTTCCGAAAGTGTTAAATCTAACGAATCCGAAAAATCATCTCTTAACCTTAAACGACGACTCAACTTTAAAGGTTGATGGTGCATAATTCTTTAGCACAATTCTTAACTAATACAGTTTAGGTGATATATCTTTCAAATTTTTAACTAATAGAGACCGTAACTACTGGAAAGGTTAAAAAGGCTAGAAAAATAACTAAAAGTTAGTTATTGTTAGCTTATCATCCTATTTCTTGAGTTCAATTTCATGCATGCTGTAGTTAAGTCGTATCGTTGCACTGCACAATTTTTTAGCAACAGACGTAAAAGAAGAACAGAGCAATAAAGAAAGTCAAGAGATTGTCGCAGAAAGCGTCTATATGGAAGATGGCGGATTATCTTCACAAGAGAACAATGCTCTTCTAGGCAACACTCCCTCCAAATTTCCGGGTTCGCGGCGGGATATTCGAGAAATCTTAAAAAAAACCAAAAAAGTAAAAAGACCAAAGGAAAAGGTACAGTATTTGATTTAGGGTAATACGCCATATGCGTATAGCAAATATTGAGTTCTATCCGAATTTTTTCAATTATTATTATTATTATTATTACAGCAGTTATTAGCAATAAGGTCTTCTTCTTTAAATGTAATCACTGCTAAATGACCTCATTTATGGATAGGTAAAGAAGCATTTGGTATTAAGTTGTATGCAGCTTAAGTAAGTTTCAAAATACTTCATATTACCTTATATAGTCTATTTATATGTTTAACGCATGGCAAATGTTTGTTATACAGTGATCGGAAAATGGCGCAAGAAATTGTAGATAAACTAGGATTATTTAAAATCATAGAAAGTGTGGACGAAAAGACGACGCATGTTGTTACTGGTACATCTCGGCGAACGCTCAATGTCATCTATGCAATGCTTCGTGGCTGTTGGGTCCTTTCGATAGATTGGTTGTTTCACTCTATATGTAAAGAGAGATGGGCTGACGAGAGAGAATTTCAATTAGCCGATGATTTTCCAGCTCTACAGAAGTATCGACTGGAAGATCGGTCGCAGTCGGAGAGTACCTTAAAAAAGTTATTTTCATCATACAACAACGCGATTTATGTGTGCAAAAAATGTCAACCTCCTCGCGATGATATCATTAATATCTTAAATCTATGCTCAATCAAAACGTCTAATACTTTTAGAAATGCTGCGCTGGTGATCGGTAACGAGAGCTTTCCCAAGTGGTACAATGTGCCTTGTGTTTCTGAAAGATGGATTTTGGGTTAGTACTAACACTAATAGGAATCTATTGAAGCTTTATTCACGACTACGCTTAACCTATCTACATTAAGCACATATTATTATACCATATCTGAAAGTAGTTCTTTCATTGTCGCCAGTGGTATTATATCAATACAGCAGTACTTAAATTTAGTTGAACTATCTGAAACATTTGCTAAATTGATGGTGACATCCGCTTTTGCATTCCAACACGAATATGAGAGTGTGATAAAGTGATCTTCAAAACAATAAATCAAGAACTACAGTTTCTTGCAAATTTCACTTTATTACAGAAGTTAGGTTCGTCTAACTACCAAGGACTATCTGACTATCTGACATCTACTTATTACAGCAAAATTCACGATTTATATACGATTAGTTACAGAATGCTTTTACTGTAACAAATCTTATCTTGCCCATTAAGTCGCAAGATCAGATCTAAATTTACTATCGCGCAATCTATTCATAATTCGCGCGTCTATTTAAAGCATTACAATACTAACATACTTAGCGCAAATCTGTTTACAGTATATCTCAGATCTTTATATAAACATCTTAATAGATTCACTACAATACGTACTGTAAACATCTTCTACAAATAGACTCTTACACAATCTTACACTCTAGCTTACAAGTTAAGTTATTCTCGTACAGTCTTATAATAGTAATCTAAGCTATATTTGGGGCTGCACTACAGAGAGTATCATTTTTCCATTTAAATTTATCTTATTTCGTTGCAGATTCCATATGTCAAGGTCGTTTGTTACCGAAAGAGGATTATCTTAAGGACTTATCACAGAAATCTTAAGTAATATTGTACAAATACTTTATCAAGAATTATCTTGCATTATACAGCACCATCAAATATTGCTCAAAATGCGGGATGTATAGTACAGTACATCACGTATCTACTGCTATACGTAGTGTTATTCAGCTTAACTATGTAAAAGAATACAACGAAATTTTATGTCATACGCTATTCAATTATTGGATTGCTTAATTTCATAAATTCATCGCGAATTACAGTACCATGTTTGAAATTTACGATGTTGTAATTAGGGTAATCATCAACATGTCGATGATATGATTGTGCGGCTGCAATGCATTTGTTTTTAAGTTATTTGTTCCGTACAATCGTATGTCCTTTTCCTGTTTATGGCTCCATTTCTAATGATCCTGCTAGTAGTACTGTTTATGTTGGTTCTAAATTAAGCAACAAGTTGAATGAAACTTGAAAGAAGTACAATAGATACATAACATAACATAATTTATAATTTTATTGAAAAATTAGAATCGTTCCCTTATCTTCAGATTCTAATTACTGTACTTTATTATCGTAGTCACTGCAATTGTTTTACCATCAGATATCTCTTTATGTTATTTAGTCGCGTATAATAGAGTATTTGTAAAGTAATGGTCGTCGTCTATACTGTGTGGTATCGATTACTGCATCATTATATTTTAACTTGTAACTCTGAAATTGAGTCAAAAATTATGAGAAACAGTATTAACAGGACATCATACCTCGACGGAAACAATACAGTACTGTTCATTGGATATGTTTATGGATTTTTGATCAGTTCGCTATCGATCTAAACTAATAAAATCATATCCGCGACATAAAAATAGTTATCACTCTTCCCTAGCGACAGGACTCATTAGGGAATAGCCGAAGTGCATAGACAACTGACCATGCGTTGTAGCTACGAAATCGATAAAGGTATTTCCAGAAGTATACTACAGTACTGTTCAGAGGTATTAACATTAGAATCAGATATAAGATATCTGCACTATTCGGCCTTTACTCTACATCGTGCGCACGAGGTGATACACTAGTCTAATTACACAGCACCTTCACTGTGATATGACGTTCTGCTATTTAACCTATTAATTAATTAATTATACGAAGATCAAATATGATCGTCCAGCTAGCGTTGTCCGAAACCATACTATCAATGCTGGGCAAATTTTCTTGAATCCTTCGTCCCAGATTGCTAGTTGTTTTGGCTTAGCGGAATTGAGATAAGGCGCCATTAAAGTAAAAATCTTATTGGTCTATTTGTAAAGCGCGGCACATCCATCCACGCTCATTAGGTTTGAGATTGGGCAGGATGTTACTCTTTATAAACCATTTTCTTTTCCTTCCTAAAATAACCGTGCATAGTGGTTAGTAAAAATTATACAAAATAATAACAATATTATAAATTTGCGTTTACTATGAATCAAATGGCTACATTACTTATTTACAAGGTAAATATGTTAAACTCTAAGTTCTCTGACATGAAAAATATATCTTATTAAAGTAAGTAAAAGAATAACCGCCAATTTCGTAATAGTTACATATACAAACTGCCTTACAGAAGGTTGTAGCAAAGATAGCTAATAGAGATACTGATGTTTTTATCATAGCTCCTAATAGTTTGAAGCATATAAGTCCATAATATGGTGATAGAAAACGTATCGATAACTTCAGGAAGAGATGTAATTATTAATAATGTTAGATCATTGTATAGGTTTGCAAATATCGACTGATACAAATAAAAGAATTTGATACCTTCAATTATACGATCGATAACTACATCAGATAACAATTTCCTAACGTTCACTTAAAGGGATACAATGAATATCACACATTACAAAAATTAGTACTAATGACAACTTCAACCTCGATCCATATCTTTCCATTCGTCGAACATTTCAGTTACCAAAAGAGCGTAGAGAGTTGTCCGTCGTTTCTTCTCTGTATACTTTTTATCGAATAGATTAACCAAGAATTAATCAACGATATCATTACAGTACGAGTATATGAAACTAATATCTCGGGTATGATAAAGATTAGATAAACAGTATAATTATAGATGATTAAATGACATGAGGAAGACGCCTTTATATTTGTATTTAGTACCCATAAAAGATGATTAAATATTACGAGTAATCTAACTTACATCAAATACTCCAATACATCGTCCTAATACTCCTTTAACACCAGCCTAATTTAGAGATAATATACACAATACTTGTCGGTAATTTTATTAACTGTAAATTGATTTGATTGCGTGTGTAGTTACCACTTAATAAAATACGAAAAGCTAACTAGCAGATTACGCTAAAGCAAAGATAAAATGTCACCGTTAGAAGTGCAATGCAATAGGAAATTTCGAAATCAAACAATATTACCGTACGAAAAGTGTGTAAAAATACGGATAGGCAATTTGTAAACTACTTCAGCTTTTATACAAATTCTATGAATACGTGATTGGTACTCATTTCTACTCCAAGCCAAAACAGCACCTCTATGCAGTCATTACTACGTATTATGCATCACCCTACGAAAACTACCGAATAACACTTCAAACAACATTTCAAAAACTATCATATATTGGGTGGAACTCTTATTATTAGTTAAATCATTGCCTTCGTTAGTAAATACTACAATTTATGTACATCTGATAGCGTGTTCGAAAGAATATTACATAACTGTTTTAATATCTTTATTGCTATGGTATTAATACATAGGGCCATTAAGTCAGTACTTGTTTCCAATATGAATGAAATCATGATTTATGTTCAGACTACAACAGCTAACATTCTATATGAGTACCTCCTCTACGACTTCCCGAACGGCAGCTTGATGAAATTCTTCCTTAGGTTCCACACTTCCGGAAGGAATTGTCCAACTGTTAGGGGACTTTATACTGCTAACAAGTAATATCTAAAATTTTGTTAAGTTACGAGAAATATATATAAGGTTTTGCTTTAACTTTTATAATAAAAGTATCCGGTATAGCTGATTATCTAAAGAGTGATTAAATAGTTGATAGTGAATAAAATGTATATGTATGCCATAATCTGTTGAACAGTAATTGCTGAATATTATCTAGCACAGGACCATAGTTGCTTCTGAATACTCCTCTCTATATACTGTAATTGTAATAAACTGACAATTGGTACTCGTTACGCGAGAAATTCGCAATTCTCCCTTGTTTGATATAGCCATTCAAAATCAAGACTTGACGAATACCAAGACATGTCTATTTATAGTTCATTGATCATCCTATATACGAAATTTGCATACCGCATACGTATTTATCTAAATCGTCGATTAACAGGCTCATGTCTAAACCCACATCTTTCTACTAGCTTTGTAATTATATATATGATTCATTAATACGAAGAGTTGATATGCTGTACGTAGGTAAAAAGATATGTATCCATTAATTCTAACTAAAGCGAACAGTAAATACAGTTGCTAGTGCAATCGCAAATAGATTTCACGTTAATCTATTTTGCAAAGATCGGTGCCATTTTTAGTTGAGCGTAGCGTATTCAAATGGTAAAGTCAAGCTTTGTACTTTTGAGGCTGCACACCTGCACTCCATAAGACGAAATTAATTCATTGTAGCTCATTCTTGAGACTATTGTGCTGTGAAATGCAGTCAATTTAAATTTCTTTTACCTTGCTTATTGGACTATAATGAAATCAAGTGTTCCTGCCGTAGAGGACATTAAAGCATCATGATACAAGTACAACGTATACGTATAAGATATGTAGTAGGAACCATCATTGCAGTACAAGTAAGTACTTTTTTAAATCCATACACACTATGATCCAATGTTCTCGCGAAACTCTGGCCACAGGGATAATATACAGTACAACGTATTTGAAATAGAATATGCGAGAGCTCAAATTAAAATGAATAATACTGTAATAGTATGATATACTGTATAATTGTATTTGTAACGTATTAGTTACAATATACAATATTCTACCATCAAGATAACATTTAAATCATCTGTAATGACTATACTCTTACAGTAGGCTGATTTTTTGCTATCGTCATTAAAGGTATACATTTATGATTTCATAACGCATCTAATTATTACTAAAAAGAGAGTGTACGGCTGTACGTCTAAGAACTCCGAATAGTCAACGGTTAAAAATTGATATCAGGCTTATACGATAGTATTTGGGTCAATAAATTTCCACTCTCTCTCTCTCTCTAGGGTCTATCGTGTACGCCACTTTGTATTTTTGAGAACGAATCTACACAAACGTTAATATCAAGCATAGACTACTGTACTAGAAGAAGAACTATGATATCAAGGAAGATTTATTTATTCGGATTGACAGACTACAATACAAACTTCAGTTAATTTACTAAGGATACCAGACTGCACGATCCTCATCCATGATTGCTTATATCTGTGATTAACATGAAAGAATTTGTACTGGTATAGAAGAAAAACTCTAAACTATGATAATTGGACAGTGATCATCTTGAAAAATGTTCATCATACTGTACAACCATGTTACTAGGGTACAGTATTACAAGGAGCCAGATCAAGATTATAAGGACAAGTTATAATCAAAATAAGAGATTGCAATCGAGGCTGAAGAGGAAGACATTTTAATAAAATACTGCAAAAACATGACCAATATTAGTAGCTGTGATTAACCTCGTACTAAGGTTAAATGTCTCGGCATTATGACAGTAAGTAGTTTGGCAAAGTGGAAATATCTTGAAGATAATTACTGTACATCGATTGTTCTACTACTGCCATCAAATAGCTCTGAAAGTACAGTAGATAAAAGCCTTTTAAATGTTTAATTGATACTGTAGTTAGTTCGATGTTGTATTCTACCTCACGTTCGGTATCATCGCGAAAGCAAACACATCCAGCTCGTTTACGGAATCCGTCAGGATAGTATGTTTTCACCATGATCGTTGCGATGAGGTAGAGGTTTGTAGAGATTATCCACAAGATGCTGCTAGGGCCGGCAATATTGTGTCATGTTAGTCAGTATTTACAATAAGATTTGGTTTTAAAGCAGTTTACTGACCTTCTATCGTGTGAATGGGTGCACCTACAGCTGAACGGTAACAACGTAACTACGCATGGAGTGTGCAAAATAGCTGTCATCCCTTTTGATGGAGTCTGATTTGTATTTATTGACACTGAGCTATTACTATTGACGAAGAAAAATTGATTGGGGTGACAGTTCGTTTTGCATATTAAGGATTCAATGTCATTGTTTGCTGGCCTGAAATGAAGTACTGAGTTATTGGTACGCAAGGTCAGTAATTAGATATACAGTATATAGATACTGTATCATGGACTACTGTAGTACTTAGTGTTCTACCTTACAAAAAGTCTTCTAAAATTAATGAATTAATAAAAGGAAAAATGCGACTTAAACTAACGTATAAATACACTACTTTATACTAATATATAGCATATTAGCTGAATTTTTATACATGTAGATAGAATTGAAGAAATGTGACTCAAACTAACTATAAATACACTACTTTATACTAATATATAGTATATTAGCTGAATTTTTATACATGTAGATAGAATTGAAGAAATGTAACTCAAACTAACTATAAATACACTACTTTATACTAATATATAGTATATTAGCTGAATTTTTATACATGTAGATAGAATTGAAGAAATGTAACTCAAACTAACTATAAATACACTACTTTATACTAATATATAGTATATTAGCTGAATTTTTATACATGTAGATAGAATTGAAGAAATGTGACTCAAACTAACTATAAATACACTACTTTATACTAATATATAGTATATTAGCTGAATTTTTATACATGTAGATAGAATTGAAGAAATGTGACTCAAACTAACTATAAATACACTACTTTATACTAATATATAGTATATTAGCTGAATTTTTATACATGTAGATAGAATTGAAGAAATGTGACTCAAACTAACTATAAATACACTACTTTATACTGATGTATAGTATATTAGCTGAATTTTTATACATGCAGATAGAGTTAAAGAAATGTGACTTAAACTAAACGTACTAATGTACTACTTTATACTAATGTATAGCATATTAGCTGAATTTTTATACATGTAGATAGAGTTAAAGTTATTCGTAATATCCACTATATACGTTTACTAAACTTTATCGTAACTGTTCATGCAAAATTGTTTGAACGCATAGCAGTAATATACGTACATGTCCGCGTATATACAGTATATAATTGTCATCAAAACATAGTAATCTAATGTACTTGCGAGTCTTGGACTACTAGATACACCGATATACTGTAAAGTCAATTCTCTCTTTTAATTCATACAATTTACGAATTGTAAATGATTTTACTTTACATACATGGACTAACACAATACCCGCAGAAAGTGAACACTACGGTAGTTAGATGCGTACCTGTACACCAGTGAATTATGTGATATTTTATTGCACCATTAATAATAATTCACGTACCGTACTACTGTAGTAGAACCTGCTGCTCTTGATACTTACACATACTTGTTTAACGAGTAGAATATAGTCAGTAGACTAATCAAAAAATTTCGATTTTTGGTAGTCTATACAGTACCGTACAGTATCCAGTACACTCAACAGTAACATCTAAAATCGATTACTACGAGTATTAATTTTAGGAGATTTTTGAAAGAGTTTTTGACTCTTTCAAATGCATAGGATATAAGTATGCCACCAGAATTACTGATATCCAAAGCTATTTACAGTATGTTTCATTTTGCGTCAAATATTCTTCAACAACATTCTAAAGCTACTGCAGTATTTTCACTAAATCAGTATATCCGAATCATACGTCAAATTCAAGTATCATATAAAGCATGCTATCCGTGTCATATTGGCGATTTTCATCAGTACTCCACATGCACGTAAGCAAATGGCACCAATCTAAATGTGAATGAAAATGTTAACCCTATGCGAAATGAATACATTGATGATACATACGTATATGTCTTGACTACAGTGATAGACAGGAAATGGTACTTAAAATTCATAGACAACAGATAGTACTTTTAATATCATAAGATATCGTGATATGATTTCTTTCCTGCGCTCGGTTTCAAATAAACGCTTTCAATTAGCATTTATACAAGACAGTACCTGGTGATCCTACATGATACAAATTTTAGTTTCAATCGCTCTCTCAAATAGTAGAAATGGACTAACAACTAGTGAGCCATTTGTGCATTGCCTAGAATATGTAAACTGTGGTGTTTGGGGATGATCAGTAGCATTATTAAGCTCAGGTATGCGTACGAGGATTATCACAAAGTATAAATGTACGATAGTAGAACGATGGGATCAGAGTCCTTAATTTGGCATTTTCTGATCACTGACACCCGACGTGGTAGGGATAGATTATAATTTTGTCATAGTTTTATTAGTTAATTGCAATAACTATTAATTACCAATCAATCTTATCACAAACACGACGAGTCATTGCACACGACTTCAAAGATTTTTTCCACATTTCTTTAATTGACTTCAGCCATAAAATCAATCGAATCTGCACGAACGGCTCTTCGTAGCGGTCTCGACTAAAAATATTTTTTAGTATATAATATGATTAATAAAGGACAAAAATCAAAGCCAAGACCTTTAATGCAATTAGACAGTAATAAAGTGAATGAAAAAATTATACATAAAGAAATAAAGCCATAATACTATACTATGGACTTCTAGGATTTCTAGGTATCTAGAAGTCCATTATGATATGATTATTGGAAATTGCAGTGATAACACCAAATAGAACACCATATGCCTAGTATTTGGTGAATCTAACACGGGATTAGATACTGCTATGAAATCGGTATTTTATCTATAATTAATTTTATCAAAGTCATATGAATTACACTTGCTATAACGCGTAGTGTTAATTGGGGCATGTACCGGTACATAACTCTTTTCTATGCTTAACTATTTATGGAATAATCTATACTTCGGGTACATCACATACAGTATTTCTAATTAATGGTATAATTTCGCAATATGCCATGTCAAACATCATGATTAATCAGTTTATGGGCGCTGCTTTATTTGCTAGCGAAGAATTTTACAGCGTAATAAAATAAATCAAACTTAACCGTGATCATTTAATAGAACGACGTATGTTATTAAAGGATACTTCTATGTTTACTTATGATTAATTTAGCGTCTCCGGTATATGCAAGAATTGATCTTAAAAGCTAATTGTAAGGCCATAATGGAGATTATAGGTAAATTATCTAATTCATTAGTATATGACTCGCCCTGTCCATTAACTAAGCTAAATCATGAAGCGTTTATAGACCAGATGCCATTACAAAGTTAAACTCAATTATCGTCCGTTCCATTGCTTACATTTATCTATTATAATTCAACGATTCAATTGTTGGGTAATAAATGAAATTTTTATTCCAAGTGCCGATGTTCGTATTTACTTACCTTAAATTTAATTAATAAATCAGGTAGGCCTACTACCAAGAATAATTGCACTCATACGTTAATAATACGCTACCGTAATAAGCTTGGCAAAAAAATCAAGAATTTTCCGGATATCAAGGGTTTTTTTCTCTAATTTGTGAAGAATTTAAATCCATTAAATTGTGAAAAGTAGAATCCTTACGATGCATTGATAGTGCGGTGGCATTATCATGTCTCAATTATCCTACTTATTTATAACTATGCTTAAAAGCAACGTATGCAGTAGGAACAAGCTAAATTTGAAATTTAAACCATGACTTGTTTACAGGCTGATATTCCTGGTCATCAAGGTAGCGCATTAACTATTGCTCAATACTATTTGAGAAGCAGAAAAAATGGTACCAAGACAGCACAGGTGTCTTGTAAAAGTTATGCATATTAAGCAATGAATTCTATAGGATTTAATAGCGTGATAAATGACGTATTTAGGCGATTTTTAATCCATCTTGCGATACTGTGATACTGTGCCAATCTAAAGGCATCACTTCCATTAAGCGAAATACAATTGTTGAAATTTTAGGATTCCAAAATCTATAATCTTAGGAAATCAAGCAAGATAAAGCTGTTATCGCAGTTTAATATCATCGCGACACAAAATTACTAATTATTAAGTGAAGCACTAAGATATTTACTTTTAGTTGTTTATGAACATAGATAGCCCTTATGATAATGTTAGACAGCTATATTCAACACATGTGTTTTGATCTGATCTTAAAAAAATTATATGAAAGAACGCTGTAATTTCAAGTAAGGCTACCCTATGAAGTATTGGCATAGAGATACAATCAAGTGAAATCTATCTTAGCTTCGTGCTGTCTTTATTCAAATATTTACTCCACGGTGACTACTATATCCTTTAACCTGCTACAGTAAACAAATAAATAGATACATGTAAAGAGTACAGTACGTAGGTTACAGTCTGCAACTTACAGATCGCGCTAAGGTGCCGACTAATCTCAATATTAATACTAGTAATATTCGATAAAATACGCCCAACATACTTATCCTGGTAAAAAAACGATGGATGTGCAATAGTGCATTGTTTCAGTTTAATAAATAATGATCTATCGGAGATAGATGTTATTACGTTACTATACTAAAAGTTTGGCGTATTTACGAAGTATCATCAATTCGTTCTTTATCATGGATTATTGTAGTGTCATCCATGATAATACAACAAAAATCCATTAAATTCTGTTTGTTTACGACCAGAATCTACTTTTGTAATACTAATATAACTACTAAAGTCTATGCATTGATGACTATATTATGCGATGATCGTATAATTGGCTGAATACCGGGATCATCCGGTAAAATTGTTGATATATCTTGCGGATTTCCTGCTATTCAATTCCAGAGAATTATTAAATAATTGCCGTCATTTCATCAAGTATGATCTCATTCTCGTCATGAAATCAATTTTTCTGAAATGATCGAA